CATCCCAGTGTCTCTGTCATCTTTTTCTTTTTTTGTCTGTCTCTCTGTCTGCTTATGCATTATAGTAAGTATTTGTTTCTGATTGAGTTCTCAGAGCGTTAGCTTTTGCTATTGACCTGGAACTTGAACTAATTGCAGATATAAATATACAACAACAAAGGGCAGGATGAAGACTAATCTTGTTTATTACATCAACAAGTGCTTTCAGTGGCCATGATTTCAACGCTTCATTTATACTCTGCCAAGTGAGTTCCCGTGCTTGGTTTTCAGAACTGGAACCAAAGCATGTCAATGAAAGCCAGTGAAAGTATTTTTTCTTTACCTTTTTTCACACTATTTTACTATATTTAGAAAATAATTAGACAAATCACAAGCACGCTTTCCACAACAATAATACAAAAAGTACACTAGAACCAAACCACACCAATCTACAATCCACCCATCACAACAATATTTACACATTTAAATATCATGCAGCACCTTGTTCTCACTGCATCATTTTTAAATGAAATCTAAAACTAAAACACAGCAACTGAAAGACATTTAATTAACAGTGGAAACAAAAAAGCAGCCATGCTCAGTTTATCAATAATAAAAGAACAACACATTGTAACCAGTGCTTTTTGTCCAGGGTACCACCAGCTTTTTTACCCATAATTACAAGGCATGAAGTTAAAATACAATTAGAGGAAAAAAAGACTGTGGTATGATGTTTAACAGCCTAAACAGGGATCCACATTGAGGCTAGTACGACAAGTCCCCACTGTGAACAACAGTAGAGTACATTTCCCTTCATTCCCTCCTGTCCCGTGTAGTGAGGCGGATTAAACTTTTCGTCCCCACATCCCTCACCAACCACCCCTCACACACACACAGGCAGTTTACTAGCCGCTAATCCTCTCCCGCCCGGTTTAAACACTTTAAATGGCCGGACTTACCTTGGAAACTATCCCCGAGTCAAACAGGCATTATTATATTGTCGCCTTCCATGGCTGGTACCTCAACGAGTTGTTCCTCGACTCACCGATGACACTAGACACGAAGTAGCGGGGCAAGAGAGCAACAAAGTCGGACAGCAACCAGGAGGAGGAGAGAGGAACGAGGCCGGAAAGTGGGCTGCTGCGCCATTGGAGGCGGCGGGTGTCAATCACCTGACTGAGTGGGCGGCCCCTAACTGTAAAGAGATTATGGAGGCTGAGCTATAGGTCTGAGGTGTAATGAGGAATGCGGGATGAAAAACAGAGCGAGGTCTCCAACAGCAGGGTTATGAAAGTCTGAATGTTTTGGTCTGTTTTTAATGTATGCAGGTTTATTTCAAATGTGTGTCTACTATAAAAAATGGAAAATAATCAAAATTCAACTTCAGGCAGTTGTAACTTTTAAAAAAATGTACTTATAAAAGCTGCCTCTTTTAATTTCTAATGGAATTTATGTATATACATTTTTTCCATGGTTTACCTGTTTATTTTTTATGCACATAGCATAAAATAGGTATAGGTAGTCGGAATAGGTATTGCAATATAAACAATAAAAGCACAACACTTTTCAATGGCAAAGTAATGCTGCATACAGGCAGGTTTTGATTACAGATTTCACCAAACTGACAAAAGATTTTCACTGGATATATTAATTTTATTTAAGGTGATTTATTTTTAAGACATAATATTGTTACGTTAGTTCTGTTTTTATTTTATTTTATTTAGCTAAATGTTTTGTTTAGACATGAATAAGTGTTGATCCCGTCTCATGAAGTGCACCACTGATTTACTTATTTCTTTTTATATTTGGCTTACCTGTTTGTTAATGAGTAAATAACACATTAAACCAATTAATGGTTCCAGTGCTCTGGGCTTCAGCAGCAATAAATGACATGACAGTAACAGCTAATTATTGGAAATAATTCCCTTTTCGCCTCCCCCATGAATGGTAGAGGTGGAAAAACACATCTGTTGGTCTAATGCAGTATATTAAAAAACCACTGCTTGTCACAGGGACAGATTTACCACATGACAAAACAGCTTTCTGACATAACAAATTCTCGTGCAAAGTCTGTTTTACACTCTTTTTTCCTGTAAACTAACTTTGACCTCTCACCTAGATCTCCTCCACAGAGAATAAAACAGCCACTTGTGCAGCTTTTCGTTCAGTTTTATGATTAACAGTCAAGAACAATTAGAGTGCAAACTGTGGCAGTTGGATTCCAGTCCGCTCATCAGGCATACAAGGGTGACATCAATTATTCCATTGAAAAGGGGATTTCCAATTTCCAAAAGCTCAGCCAGCCCCCCTTACTGACCCTGACCTTTTTAGCTGCAGCTTGGAAGAGTTACATTTTACCATCTCATTAGGAGCAGAAGAGCAGTGATTGCCAAGCATGCGTAAAAGAGATATGAAAGAGTCTGGTTGTCCATCTTAATTTATCAGCTTATCCAGTGTTTACATATTTGAAATGAGATTTTTTTTTTTCTCCTACAGAGTGTACCTGCTTAATGTTTGTCCTAGAACAGCGGTCCCCAACCCCCGGGCCTCGGACCGGTACCGGTCCGTGAGTCTTTTGGTACCGGGCCGCGAGAGTTGAGGCTCTGGTGTGAAATGTATAGTTTTCAGGGTTTTTATCAGTTTTCAGCGTTATTTTGTTATCGTTTTGATCGTTAACTCGGTTTTCCTGGGTCTTTTCACGTGTGTCATGAATAAATCTTATTTTTTTTGGTACAGGTACTAGTTTTATTTTGTTGTATTTATTCGTGACACCTTAAAGGCTGGTCCGTGAAAATATTGTCGGGCATAAACCGGTCCGTGGCGCAAAAAAGGTTGGAGACCGCTGTCCTAGAACACTTGTGGAGTGAATTCTCCATCACTACAAGCTTTACAAAAATACCGCTTTCCTGAAAATGAGCATTCACTGTTTGTTTGCTTGTTTAAATTGTGTTTGTTAATTTAAATCTTTCATACTTTTGAAAGAGCAGTTTGTGGCATTGTTGGAGTGTACTACCTTTGCCTTCTGCTGACCTATCCATCTGTGTGGTTTGTATCTTCCAGTCTATTATCTTGCCTGGCATCTGTCTTACTACTGCTGGACGAAATGTACCTGTCACTCTGTTCCCATCTGCCTTATCTTTTGTCTCATTGGTTTGTATGTGTCCGTCCTTCATCTGGGTCTTTTTTCCGTAGCTCATTTAGCCATCTGTTGTGACACTTCTGTATTTTCATGCATCCAAAAACTAGGCTTCAAGTTAGCAATTAAATATCTGTTTCTATGATAAACATATTCAAATTTAGATTGAAATTATACGAGTGTCTTCTCTTTAATTTTGTTACAGTAATGCACCTTGTAATACAAACTTTAAAGTAAGTGTAGACTTTAAATCTATTATGCAGGCTATTATTTGTTGACGACGACCAATAATCTATATTCAGTTTCTCAAACTCAAATTCTTACATAGAGCTTACAGTTAAGCACTCAGGACTCATAATGTGAGATAGCACTAGAGCATCTCAATGAAGTGAATGTTAAAGAAAGAAAACTTTACCTTATTTCTCTACAGTTATATAAAAAAAAAAGTCAACCACTTGTTGCTTTATGTTCTGTGGTATTGCTTCCCTCTGCTGGGCCTTTTAACTCATTACAGAGTTCAATAAGTTTAAAATAAGAACAGGATCAGTCCTATAGACTGTGTACATCATCCACATTTTGTATACCACAGTTTACCACACTTTAACACAAATACTCAAGCAAGCCAGTGTAAATCCACCAGTGCTGACCTGCTCGCTGTCTCTCAGTAAGATTACATTAAACCTCAGTTCATATGCAGCCAGTTATTAGATTTTAGCAACACATATTTTACAACCAAGTCTTTACCTCGTTGTGTTTTTGAGCTCTACCACCAGTGCACAGTTGTAACTTGTGCATACCACTACCAAAAGTAATCGCAATCTTTCTCTGATATACAGCAATGTGTGTCCCAAGATTACTGTCAGTACACCCTATGCTTTTAGGCATTTTAACCTGGTGGTGGTGCAAAAGGAAAAGCAAGACAATCCCTTAGCACAGATGCAATATACCATAGGGGCTCCACACACACCCTTCCAGTTTTCTCTAAGGGTATATTTACTCATCATACTACATGTTTATATATAACACGCTGTCAGAGTGATGAGCTCAGAACTGTAATTATTCTATTGTTGCAATAAATCATTTAAAGTTGTGAGTTGTTTGACTGAACCATCTTAAATATTTGTTAATATTTCAGCCTGGGTCAAGGTTTTTGTCAAACTGAGCCTCCCATAAGTGATGAGGATTATAAATACTGTGATTTCCCATTTGTATAATTAAAATTTAATGCACTTTCTGAATTTTCTCTAATGTCTGACCTGAGGCTGGTAAAAGCAAGACTATTTGATATCCAATGAAAATCACTGGATATTGTTTATAATCGTCTTGAACAACAAAACAAGATGTCACTCTTTCCTTCTTTCTTTTACTTTTTTTTTTTTACTTGGTGTTGCTCACTAAGTGAGTAATCTTAGCATATTCCACTTGCTTATATTGGCAAATCTATTCAAAACTTTCAGAACAGTTTGTTCCATGATAAGAGATATTTTGGACCTGCTGTGGTTTTGCTGTGTGCCATGGTTTTCACTGTTACTCACTGTATGCTGACTGATGTCATCATCTGGCTTGCGTTGGATCTCCACAAAGTGGCTTATCCAGTGCTTTAAAACAAGATGAGAAGATGGAAATGTGCAAATCTAAATAGACACAGACTACACACCCACATGATGCATTCAAAGAGAAACAACAGAGCGCGCACATACACACAACAATGCCCGTCAGACACCTATCTGAACTGACTCTTCCACTTGAATATTTCTTTTCTGGCATTCACACCCTAGGTTAAATCTATGCATGCAGTCATATGTGGTATTAGCTGGGTGTGGTCTTCACTGGCTTGTTATACAGGCCACAGCTGAAAGGCTGAATAGTCACAGGCATTCACTGACGCCACCCTCTCCCTCTTTCACTCTCCTGCCTCACATTTCTCTGTTTCACCCTCTGTTGCTCCAGCACTTACCAGTATTCAACTTCTTTAACAAAAAGGTATTTATATTTCCACTTTCTTTGTAGCATAAACTATACGGATGGATAATCTATATGGATTATATATAGTACTTTGTACTTTTTTCCTTTCAGCTATATTATTTAAAGTTTCATTTCTAGAGTAAATCCTCTTTATCTCTGTCCTCATTTAAGTGCTCTCTTTGTGGACTTGGACAGACCAAATCGAGTGGGACATCTGCAAGTTGGTTGACAAGTAAATTATTCTGCTCATCTGAAGTGTTTTTCTGGAAACCAGTCTTTCTCTTATGAGGAGCACAGCAGAGTTTGCTGTATAAAGATGTCTCTTCCATTGTCACTGCTGATATGCCTATCAGTTATCCAGCTGGGCTTGGGAGATCAGCTTGTGGAGAAAGTCGTCATAGCCGGTAAGTAATTATATCGATAAGAAATATAAGAAGCAAAAGAAAATGTGGAGTAATGTCACAGGCAAGCTGCCAGAAAAAATAGCTTCTGAAATTTTGGGGGCAATACTGCAGAAATACTATCTAATACACGCACATTTTTTTTTTAAATGTGAAGTTTCATGACAACTGAAGTGGCTGTATTTATTAATGTGCTTCAAAAGAGCCTTACACTGGATATATAAATTCATGAAAAAATATCACTTTCCAACAGGGACATTTGCAAAAATGTTAAGAAGCTGTGTAAAATTAATATGTGAAATATTTGCAGATCACATAAATATCTAGTTAAAAAATATTTCATTGTTTCCTTAAAGTATGCACTGATTTTAAAACCAACACCAGCAACATGCTTGGATCTGCAGATGTTTAACCCTATGTTGTAACATCTGTCCTTTTAACAAAACTGTATGAGATCAGCTGGAATTTTGTTGAAATCATGTTTGTCTATTTTTGTCAGATGATGGATGTCATTTGTCCTGAGTAACAATGGGTTCTGGCCAGTTTAGCAACAGGACTGTTTTATTACACAGTTAGTTATGCTGTTGTAAATCATGCAGTGATTAGTTGAAAAACAAAATCTTGTCTGGTTGGCAGCATCATGTTGCTCCAAAACCTGTTCGTGTTGCCCAGCGTACAGCATGTACGTGACGTCAGCATGTACAATCAAGCAACCCGATAAAGATATACTGTCCATGATTTCCAACCATAGGACACATTTCCTTTCAAGTCCATTTTAAATGCACTTGATCCTAGAAAAGGTTGTTTTTCTTTTCCCTGTCTGATCCCAATTCAGTGCCCATTTAGACCCAACAGATCATGCATGCAGTGCTGGCTGGTTGTTGTGATTTGGGGCTATATAAATAAAACTCAGTTGAACAGAACTGAATTAGTCTTGCTCTTTAGATGCAAATCCTACATGGATAAAAACAGCCACCAGTATATTATTATGTTAATTTAAACTTCATCTAAATACATTATGAGAGGCATCCATCTATTTCGACAAATTAGTTTAAATGGGTCGACAGAATCTGTCTCTTGGATTCTGATTAGTACCTCAACATGTGGTGACAGTAAAGTAGAAACAACATTGGGCTTGAAATGGGAGCCATTCTTATAAAGTACAATGGAGGTATATAACAATGACTGCACTGGAGCGTAGACATCTGTGTCAGAACCATGACTAACAGTCTAGAAATGAGTCAGACAAAACATTTGCAATTCAGCTACTTTGACTTTGTGTATTCATATGACATTTAGCCACAATGAAAAACATGTATTAGTAAATTGCCTACTATCACAGCATTAAAGAAAGGATGAGATGAAATGTGCATATACACATCTGTATTTTTTTATACAAATGATGAAGAAAAAATACAATAACAAAATGCAGATACCAACCCAGGGTAATAACAAGACAAAATACAGAAAAATACGAATGCTAATAGTGAAAAAGATATGATAGTCATTAAATATTTTTTGTGGCATGATGAGAGAGGCTAGATGTGATCTTCTGTTGTGCCCCTTGGATGTCGTGTTTGTTGGAGTTTAAGGGAATTGTGTTTGCTATTATGGTAGCGTAGCTGTTATACGCTTGTTTCTTCCAATGCTACTGTGTTCTTTAATGGCTTACAGTTGTTGTTGTGGAAATGAGATGTTGCACCACGAGTGAAGTTATGCACTGGGCTAACAAAGCGTTAGAATGTGTACAAATGCTGAATAAAATAGCAGTTGTAGTGACAGCTGAAGCTTCAGTGTCTCTGTGTCAGTTCTTGCATTACAGATTTCTCAGCATGGCATAATATGGTCAGAATAGTTTGGATGGTAATAAATAACATTGTTTAAAACCATTCATACAGTCAGGGAGCTTACATTTTGCCTCTTAGTAAGTCTTTGAATGTCAAAACGGCACCAAAATGGCGCCATATTTGATGACTCTGTACTGCAGTCTGGTTGGCTACAGTGAGTCATGTTTATCTTAGTGAGAACACAGATACGGCCGCTTATCGGGGCCTGGAGCCTGGGGCTCGGTCACTCAGGCACAGCTGGCTGCCGGCGGAGCTCACGGGCGCGTCACTGCAACGCGGCCGCTTGTCGGGGCCTGGGGCCTGGGGCTCGCTCGGGCC